TGCATCCTTACAAGTGCTCCTGAGAGACCAAATTAAGCCACAGAAATGTATATCTAATACACCGGCCCACTAATGATGCCCGTTAAAAGAGCGGGTATGTAGGCACAGCTTAAAAATTGCACGGGTCATTACGGCAAATTGAAACCAAGATTTATCTGCTGCCAGAGGAGCGCATAATTTGTTTTACCTGGTAATCACAGAAGCCATATAATTAAACATGAAAACAAAAAGCACGAGAGCTGTGGAATGAGACAGTATGGAGTGATACTGTATGACAGGACGTCAAATACAAACGAATTCTAGGTGGCAGCAAGTCATTGAGAATGGACTGAGCGTTACCTTACAGTACATGGAGTGTGAAAATATAATTGTAGTATCCAGAAGTGCAGGATACCTGAAACGAAAAGAGGCATGATTGTTAATGTTTAAAGGATTGTTTGGGAATTATCTGGCTCCAAATGCGGGATTGAAAACTTGAGACACAAGAGAAATAGATTCCGTAAAAAAAATTATGAACAGAGCAAATATTTCAGCTGTAAATCTGAAAGAAGCCTTATCGTGGAAAACTCGATACACAGTTTGTCACAGTAAATGCTTTCAAAACACAAAATTCCCTTTCCAGTCCACCAAAACCTTTCATGGAAACTAAGCTAAAAAAGCAGACTCTTCAGAAATCCTCATATGATGTCCAACAACGAGCACATTAACTTGAAATTGAGCGCCCACATGTACATGCCTATTCTTATTTAGGAAACTTTGCCCATCCAGTCACTGCCAAGTAATAATGAGAAATTGGGACAAATACTATTATTCCTAAACACCAGTAGAACAATATACTATACTCTACATAACCTTCTGAAGGATTCCAACACTGGAAATCAATTGATTTTTAGTCAATGACCCTAATTATTTCAAACAGACTAAAGGAAATCCAAAAATGAAAATTCTATCATCATTTACTCACACTTGTGTCTTTTCAAACCTGTATGAATATACAGTTAGGCCTATATATGTATATTGTATAATGTATATATAAATTATGAAATATATTATAAAATACTGCGGTACCACTTTATATTAGGTGGTCTTAACTACTACGTACTTACATCAAAAATAAGTACAATGTACTTATTGTGTTCATACTGTATTGCAGGACAATTTTGCTGCTATTGAGGTGGGATATGGGTAAAGTTAGGGACAGGTTTGGTGGTATGTGTACAGTAGGTTTAAGGGTGGGTTAAGGTATAAGTGATGGGTCAACAGCATAAATATAAATGTACACTCTAAAATATGCTGGGTTAAATACAACCCAGCGCTGGGTAAAATATGGAAAAACCCAGCAATTGGGTTGTTTTGGCCCAGCGGTTGGGTTACTACCCAGAAGGTTAGGTTAAACATTTAACCCAATCACTGGGTCAAAACAACCCAGTTGCTGGGTTTGTCCATATTTCACCCTGCACTGGGTTGTATTTAACCCAGCATTTTTTAGAGTGTAATTACTTAAATTAATTACAGATGTAATTACATGCAGGTATTTTTTTAAATATAAGTACAAAATACAACGTGTATGTACACAATAAATGCATTGTATCAACTGATTAATTTAAGTACATAAGGCCACCTAATATAAAGTGGGACCAATACTGCAGTTATATATTTATAAATAATAAATATACCAAAAAAGTTTTCACATTCTTAAATTACAGCTATGTGTGCTGTCTACGCTGGTTCACACCAGTGTGTAAAGCATGAAAAGGTCATTTATAAAGGGAAATAAAATGTATTCATTTTGTGAATGAAAACATGATAGCAACATACTTCTATTGCAATGAACAGTGGAATTACACTAAACAAATTCTTGAGTAATCTCTTAACTTTGGTAGGGACTAAATCTACATCCATTACCTATAAATCACAAAGACAATCAGAACAGATAACCTGAGGTTAATCCAAATGTAAAAGTGTTTCTCTGCTGCATTCATGGGTGTCATGCCTACAGTGTCACACAATCCCTGGGAAAAGAAGGAAACATCTGCATTTTAATAGATTTTTTTCACCCGTGCCTTTCAACATCATTAACTTTATTACGCCGGACACTCCTGTTGCAAAAACAATTCAGCATAATCATTTGCGGTGCATCTCCCCTGTGAGGGCATATATCCTCCTCCTCCTCCTCCTCTTTCTCTCTGCCTGGCAATTACCACCGAGCCACAGATGCATATCTCAGGCAGCACAAACTAGATGCAGCAGATAATGTGATTACTCAGTCATTACATATTGGAGTGCATTCATTACGGGCAAAGACCAAAAATCTGGGCATTGTTGACAATGGCCGGGCAATGCCCAAGATGTACAAGGTTGCAGAAAACATAATGTCCATAATTTCATGTCGGCAGTTCAAGATGATCAGGCCGAATCGCTGAGGAGATTCAAATGCATACGATTAATTCATTATGCAAACCGAATTCTGATGGGATGTGAGCTTGTCGTTAAAAAACACAGGAGAGAGAGATGTTTGTTTTTTAGATGAAATGGTAATGTGTGAATGCAGACAATGACAGAGGGTCCCTTCGGTGGAGACGGGAGGATTGTGGGTAAACAGGTTACAAAGATGGTAAATGGTTTTAGCAGCCACCTGCAGAACGTTCATTAAAGCGACCGAGCTTCTCTGAATCGTTTTCGGCTTAACGCTAATATCGTAAAAAGTTGTTAACAGAATCATGATCATAATCTAGGACATTATAATCCTATAATGGGGCTTACCAGTGAAGAACGCACTACAGCCAAATCACTCTACAGAGAATCCCGGCTCCCCAAGACTGCCATAAAAAAGCAGTTGATGAAATCCTGCCAAATTGTCTCATTTAAGCGAGATAAAAAAAGTTGGTCAATTCATTAATCATTAAAGCTGTGGTGTTATTTACGCACAAACTTCAAGGCCTGAAATTATTTATTGTACAGTACATTATTGAGTGCGCGGTGTCATATTTGTGTATGTTGAAACCGGGGCAGCGCTCTGCAGTGCGAAACAGAGCAGATGTTGATTATTTAAGCCCAACTGATACGATCTGCACATATTCAAATGGGAACGCCTGACTGTAAGGAGTAATTTCATTCAGCAATTTACTGCAATATGTTAATGCGGAAAGAAAGGGGGATTAATCCCTAAATGTATTCAGTCAAATGAAATGAAATAACATATATTTGAAAGTGTAATTTTTAACACACCTTATTATTTCAATCCCGGTAATTGAAACTGCAATCCCGGCAACTTTTGTTAAATTAATGTGTGGCAAACGGCACCTTTCGTTTGCCAAGCCTGAGTGAGTTCCTGCATGAATTGAATTTAATTATTCCTGTGGCCCAATATATTATTAATTATCTATATTGATTTCTGAACTCCCTTGCTGCTTGTGGATATGCAAATCGGACCGTGGCAATATTGGGGTGGGGTCATTTGCATGGAAACCCATTATTATTTTACAAGTAAATTTTAATGTGGACTCAATTAAAACTCAGTGAGTGGAACAGTTAAATTGGCCCAAGGTATAGGCTCCTCGCGTACAGGCGCAGGACTAGGATGTATCAATTAGTGCAGATCAAACTTATACTCATCTGCAGAGAGATAGAGGGGGGAACTGCAATCTAATTAGACCGGTTCTCAATGAAGGAGCACTTTTAGTGATTTTCTCCACCAGAGCACACCTAGGTTGCAATGAAATTAAATAGTATCTGTTGGTCATTTGGACTTACTCAAATAAGTCTTTGAAGTAAACTATAATTGAGATGTGATTAAATGTTGTAGCACATTTCATTTATTGATCACAAGGATTGTTAAGATGAAGGCTGGCGAGTTATTTGCAAACCTGTCCGTGCCTCAAATTAGACAAGGCTGTGATTGTCAATATCATGTGAGGAATAGAAGAATATGAAAGAACCAATGCAAGAATAACTGCGAAGACAATCTAATTGGTTAAGAAGTGATCAAACCATGTTATTGTTTACGTTAAGGGAATAGTTCACCCAAAAATGAAAATTTGCTGAAAAATGTATTCACTCTCTGACCATCCAAGATGAATCAAGATGTAGATAAGGTTGTTTCTTCATCTGAACAGATTTGGAGAAATTTTGCATTGCTCACAAAATGGATTCTCTGCAGTGAATGGGTGCCGTCGGAATGAGAGTCCAAACAGCTGATAAAAACATCAATATAATCCACATGACTCCAGTCCATCAATTAAACGTCTTTTGAAGCAAAAAAAAACAAAACTGTTTGTTATAAACAAATTCATCATTAAGAAGAATTAAACCCTCTATCCATAATATTGCTTTGTCCAGTCAAAAAAGCCATTGTGCTTGAATCAGGAGAGGAATATGAGCAGTTTACAAAACAATTCTAAACAAATATGTTTGTTTAATTTTTATGTGAGAGGGCAACATGGGATTATGGGCAAATGGACAAATTTACATTTTTGGGGGAACTATTCCTTGAACATAACCATTTTAGATACATAAAAACATTGTTACACTCACTTGTAAGGGACTTACTATTTTGGCAGAAGAAGTATTGGCAGTATTAAAACGTATATTTCAAAGGATAGTTCAGGGTTTCTTTAGTGAACGTTGTTCTTCATCTCCGGCTTGCGCTTGCTAACAAATCATAGCCAAGATGTTATTTATGATAAGAGGCCTATTCAAATCCCTTAGCCAAAGTAATAGTGATTGCCTTAGCAATTAAATGACACCTATATGTCTGATTCTGAGGGACCTGAGCATATCTGCACAAATCAAATGATTTTAATAGTGCAAACGTGACCTTTGAAAAAGCACTCGGGGCATTAGACAAGCTCTTCACCTCTTAGTGTAGTTTCGTCACACACAGCCCAGGCTGGGAATAGAGGTGGACGCCGGCTCTGCTACAACGCTAATTGTGCACAGAAGAGAAAATAGGTTAAAACACTGTTCAGGCTGATCTTTATCTGAGAGGTCAATGTGTGCACAAAGCTTTATTTTCCTTTTCCTGACCCCTCCTCAGAGGCTTGTTCGTTTTTTCTTTCTTTTTTTTGTCCGTCACATTATAGCAAGGTCTCTCACTTTCTTTCTCAAGTCTTGCACATTGTTACTAAGCATTCAGTTCATCAGGATATCATTTCACTTTCATTTTTTTTTTAAATTCAAGAATAATTCATGACTAAAACAACAGAGTTGCTTGCAGCGGGGTTAAACCCCCTCTTATGGAAAATTTGCCTTTTCTGGTCCCAAAGTGTCTGAATGAATGAATGAATGAATAAGGTTAGGGTTAGGGATTATTATTATTAATAATAATAATAATAATAAATATAAATGGAGCAAAACAATATGTGAAATTACAAAAATAGAAAATATAGTGTCTCACACACCTGAATCATTCGTAGGTGTGTCGGATCAAAGTCTAACATAAACATGAAAAATATATTTTTTAAAAAATTATTAAATGTGTACAAAAACTACAAATCCAAAAATAAATGGTTGATTGACCAAAACACTGCTAACAAAACTTTGTAATCATGTAAGTTTGAGTAGCATGCAGGGTTTATAAAAGTTTGTGTGAAATTGTGAAAAAAGACAGCAAGGGGTGGGAGTTGTTTTATCCCACACTTGAGGTAAAAAGTCCCCCATGGAAAATAAAAAAAAATTGTGTAGATATAATGACAATAGTAATTACTTTCAATTTCAATATTGCAAATAGGTTTCTTATAGGAAGATATTTTTAAGCATTTAAGTGTTACGAGGCTGACGAGACGAGAGGCGTGCGGATTCACGTGCAAGCTTTTATTCACAAGAGACGTGGTCAAAAAACACAGGCAGGGTCGAACAACAGCAAACAGGTATGGCACAGGCAAGACAAAGAATATTCCTTGGGCTAGCGTGGGTCTACGATTGGCGAACAGTATCCAGAGGGCTTGACAAGAGGGGTAATCCAATGAACACAGGCAGAAGGTCAGGAAACAGACAACAAGGCAACACGGAAAGACTAGACTAAAACTAAAAATGGGAAAAGGAATGGCTCAGTAATGTAGCTATCGCTAGAGGAGAGATAAACGCTAAACAAAACTAGAGACTAAACAGAAACACGGAATGGCTCGGTAAAGCAGCTAACATTTGGGGAGTGCTAAACGCAGAACAATACTCAGTAGTTCATTAGCAGGCTCATTGACTGAAACTGAACGGACGGAAGGTTTAACAACAGACTCAACACAAGCATTTAGACAGACAGCTCAGATTTAGATTCCTTGACAGAGATATAGAGGGAAAGACTTGACTAGACTCATGAATATCAGCTGTGACTTGACTAGACTCATGATAATAAACTGTGACTTGATGGGACTCAGAAAGAGCAGTTGTGACTGGACTTGACTTTTGAAGATCGGCCGTGACTTGACTTGACTCATGACGAACAACTGTGACTTGACTTGCCTCATGAAGATCTGCTGTGAGTTGACGACTCAGGAGGATCAACTGTGACTTGACTTGACTCATGACGATCAGACAGAGATATAGAGGGAAACTGGACTGGCTGGTAGTTCTTGGATGGTCTCTATGGCAGTGACAGGGTTGACGGGAGAAACATGGGGTGCATTAATGGTCTCTGGGCTAATGACAGGCAGGGTTAAGGGATCAAAGACAGGTTTTTGGGCTGTGACAGACAGTTCACAATCAACCCCCATGGCTGGTTCAGAACAGGACGAGAGTTCAGAGATGGCCTCCTCGGCCAGTTCAGAGCAGGATAAAAGTTCATAAATGGCCTCCATATTGACAGGACAGGCAGAGAGTTCACAGACAGCCTCCATAGCCATGACACGACAGGACGAGGATTCGCTGACGGCCTCCATAGACGTGACAGGACAGGACGAGAATTCGCAGACGGCCTCCATAGCTGTGACAGGACAGGCAAAGAGTTCACAGATGGCCTCCATAGCCGTGACAGGACAGGACGAGGATTCACAGAC